AAAGCCGTTCAGATACTCAACAGCGACATCGGAGTGCGTGGACTCATAAAACCTGCAAGGGAGTGAAAAGGGGATGCAAAGGAGCGGTGTCAATGAGAGTGTGCATGAGGGATCAAGCGTGAAGGCTGAGTGCCCGCTTGCAGCGACAAGCTGTTGTCATGCAGACACACACACACACACACGCATACACACACACACGCACACACACGCACACACACGCACACACACGCGCACGCACTACAACTCACTCCACAAGGTATACGCCGGTACGTAGCCGCGTGGACGGATCCCGCTGGACTTCAATGTGCTTCACTGGCCCGACCCTACGCGTGCACGAGTGCGTGGGGGCACGAGTAAATGTGTGTGTGTGTGTGTGTGTGTGTGTGTGTGTGTGTGTGTGTGTGTGTGTGTGTGTGTGTGTGTGTGTGTGTGTGTGTGTGTGTGTGTGTGCTGAGAGAACGTACAGCAGCAAAGGACATGACCAAATGTGTCAAAACAAACCCCCTCCCACACACACACGCACACACTTGCACACCCGCCTTCCTACCCGAGATGAACCGCTGGTAGTCTGCCCAGATGGCGTCGAGCGGGTTGCGTACGAGGATGATGGCCCGCGCAAACACCGACACGCCGTCGCACACGCCGTGCTCCCGTCTGTAAAATACAATGCACAAGTGATGGCACGTGGAGGGAACCAGGCATCAACGCACAGCGAACGGAGCAAGGCAGAGCACATGGCATGGAATGTGGTGGTGATTGTGGTGGTGTTCAGTGGCAACAACTGCAGCCTCATAACAGTCACAACATCAACAACGACAACAACAGCAGGCACGTCAATCGTTACAGCAACGTCACTGCAGTCATGGTTGAGGCAGGCGTGCTGTGGTATCCAGCGTACTTGAAGGTGGCTGTGTAGTGGTCCTCCTTGTTGGTGCGTCGTGGGTTGATCAACGGGTGCAACTTCACCGCAATCACTGCAAGGCGCGGCAAGTTGCAACAACAGCACAACGCACACACACACACACACACACACACACAGACGTGAAAAAGGCAAATTGCGTAAGCTTCCACCACACTACAACAACTGCGCGATTTTGGCCCAACCACAACACAGGACAGAGACACACACCCAAGTTATATCGCACCTGATGAGTCGCACGTGTCTTCGCCCGGCAGCACATCCAGCAAGCTCTTGTCACCATAGGGTGAGCCTTGGCGCCAACGAGTGCCAGAATGCAAACGAAGGAGAAGAGAGTGTGCGGGTGCGTGCGAAGGAAACCGTCCATAATAGTGTGAGTATATGCGAGCAAAACAGTTGCAGTGACATCTTAGCAGCAACAACGCGTGCATATGCACATTGTAACAGAAACGTGCAACAACGCAATGTCGTCGATCCGGGCCAACAGTGCAGCTGCAGTTTGCATTGCAAGGCCATAAGAATGACCCAAACCTGTAAGGTAGCCGGTGGCGTACTCGATCAACAAACGAGTCATCGTGTTTCCGCTGCCCGGCTGAGACCACAACAATGCAGGCGCCTGACAGACGACGATAACAACAAGAACAAAAACGCATGTGTGGGGAATCGTGCGAGTGAGTGAGAGGCGCGGGTGTGTGTGTGTGAATGTCAGGGTCAAAGCATGCGTTGGACGTGTGGGTTTGCGTCTGCGATTGCGTCTGTGTGGCGTATGGAGCTGTGGCGCAGGTGTCGTTGCTACATTGCCCAAAGCTGACCTTGTGTTGCTGGGCTGGGGGCAAGAAGTGTCGCTGTCTTAACCTGGAATCACTGTGGTCGCATTGAAGGAGCGAGGGCTGGCCATCACTTAAACGCGAGTCAGCCGCAGCAGCTGTGATGGGGGCGCTTTGCTCCTCGTGATGGTCATGATGGTAGTCGTGGTTGTCGCGAAGCAGAAACACCAGCGCGGCACTGAACGTCGTCAATGACACATCGCAATGGTACGAAACACAGTACGTAACGTGAGGAAGATGGGAGAAGGTGTTGTCACGCTTGCATACACACGCAGACAAAGAAGAATCGGACACAGGAAACAACGCGTACAAACAAACAAGCATATGCACACACAGACGAACAAACATACGCACACACAGATACACACATACAGAGATACAGAGATACACATGCACACACATGCACACAGATACACACATACAAAGATACAGCGATACAGAGACACACATGCGCACACACACACACATGCACACACACATACATGCACATACGCACGCAAACAGCAGGAAGGCTGCCGCCGAGGTGAGCAGCTTCCGGTTTGGTTGTATCGCCATGGAGGATTCACCACCCTGTTAACAAATCGTCCTTAACCACTCTGCTGCTGACTCAGCGAATTTCCTCTTCCCGTCCCTCGCGCGTGTCTTTTCGGTGCACACACCAACCAACACACACACACACACACACACACACACACACACACACACACACACACACACACACACACACACACACGCGTGCTTCTTTCCGAATTGTTGGCTTTGCTTGGCACCTTTTGAACGCCCAAACAGGATGTCGTTTCGTGGTGGCGGTGGTCGCGGCGGTGGCCGGGGCTTTGGCCGTGGTGGTGGCCGTGGCGGTGGTCGCGGCGGTGGCCGTGGACGAGGTGAGATGGGCTGCTTGCACGCACGCGCACCGTGTTTGTGTTTGTGCACCATGCGTGTTTGTGTGGTGTGCATCGTTCCTTGCGATGTCTGCAACAACATTGTGGGTTGATCCTCACAACCCACTGTATGTGCGTGCATGCGTGCGTGTGTTGTGTGCGTTGCAGGCCGTGGTGGTTACCCAACAGGCCCACCACCCCGTGTGGAACGTGAGTATTGCCAGTGACAGCAAAAACATGACTTTGCCAGCAGCGCTTGCATGACACACTGCCCTCAATAACCACAGCGCTGGCCACACGTCGCATGCCAAAATCAACACCATCCAGAACCCTTGATTCACATGCTCATCCTTTCGCTCATCCACACACTGATCCACACGCTAATTCACATCCCGCCCTCCCGCCAATCTTTTCGCTGTCCTCAGTCCTTGGCAGCGTGGTGCAGTCGTGCGAGGACGATCTTGTGTGCAAGCTTGAGAACAAGAACGTGCCTTACTTCAACGCCATGGTCTACCTCGAGAACAAGCAGGAAGTCGGCAAGGTTGACGACATCTTCGGTCCCGTTGCGGACGCGGTGCGTGATCCCTCCAATCGGGGATGGCCCTGCGCTCTCCGTGCTCCCTTCATACTGCCCTTTGCACACGAGATGAGACAGTTGGATGCATGTGCAAACCACTGGTTGCTCCAGAGCGTGGATGAAATGTTGGCTCGGTGCAGATGCTTGAATGGCAACACAGCACTTCAGATGTGCCTTGATGCCTGCTGTTGCCCATCGTTGCCTCCAATGTACTCACACCACCTTGGTGGACACTGACCACACGCGTGTTCTGCAGTTCTTCACAGTGAAGCTTGGACAGGGCATGAAGGCCGGCAGCTTCAAGTCGGAGGACAAATTCTTCATTGACCCGTACAAACTGCTTCCGATTGAGCGGTTCTTGCCCGGCAAGAAGCCCGCGCGTGGTCGTGGCGGTGGCCGTGGTCGTGGCGGTCGTGGTGGTGGTCGTGGTGGTGGTCGTGGCGGCCGTGGTGGTGGTGGTTTCCGTGGTGGCCGTGGTGGTGGTGGTTTCCGTGGCGGGCGCGGTGGTGGTCGTGGTGGCGGCGGCTTTAGGGGCGGCCGCGGTGGTGGTGGTGGCTTCAGGGGCGGTCGTGGCGGTGGTGGCTTCCGCAGGTGAGCCGGCTTGGCTTGCCTTTCTCCACCTTCTCCCTGCCCCCTCCCCTTGACACCCGTTCCCCCCCCCCTCCTCCCAACGACGATGAACGATAACTGACAACGATGATGATGATGATGATGATGATGATGATGATGATGATGATGATGATGATGATGATGATGATGAATGCAAGACGTACTGTGCTGCTGGTGGAATTGCGGCATATGTTGCCGGTTGTTCACGGACGAAGAACAATACGACGACGTTATGGATTGATCGCGTGCCTGTGTCTCCATCTGGAGCGTGCGTACGAGTGCGATCTTGTGCCTGTGTGTGTGTGTGTCTGTGATGGAGTTATGGCAAGCAAGAGCGAGCAGTGTGCATCTGCTCTTGTGATGTTTTGTTGTTGGGCGTTGTCTGACATTTGATGTGGTTTCTGGTGATGCTGTGGTCAATCAGCAAAGGTTGTGCCTTTGCCTCCCCACGCTCGTTTGTTTTTGTGTGCATGTGTGCGGTTGTGCTGTGTCCCTTGTGATGTGTTGTTGTGGAACGCTTTGCAATCGTTAGTGCTTGCTTGTATTTTGTTTCACAACACAACAAGTATACTCTAATGACCGAAATAACGCCACAACGCCAGAACGCAGGCAGTGTGTGGTTGTGAGAGAGGGGCGGGGGGTTTCACCTGGGACCTGTGTTGTGTGGGCCAACATCTTTCAAGACCAAACCAAGCATCTCACAAGCTTCCTCCTAACTAGACACCCGAAGATGTGTAACTTGCGAACAACGCATGTGCACATGTGTGTGTGTGTGTGTGTGTGTGTGTGTGTGTGTGTGTGTGTGTGTGTGTGTGTGTGTGTGTGTGTGTGTGTGTGTGTGGTGTGTGTGTGTGTGTGTGGTGTGGGTGTGCGTGTGTGTGTGTGTGTGGGTGTGTGTGGTGTGGGTGTGCGTGTGGGTGTGGGTGTGGGTGTGGTGTGGGGTGTGCGTCATGACGCACAGTGCTCTCATCCACTAAGGGAGTAGCAGCGCGCATCAGAGGGTGGTGGTGGTGGTGTTTGTCACTCATCCTCGTCTGTGAGCCACTGCACGATGGCGGCCATCTCATCGCGTCCCAGCGGCGGCGACTGCAGTGCGTCTTCCTTCAGCCGCTCCAGCACGAACAACAGCCTGCAGTGCGGTGTTGTGTGTGAGTGTGTGAGGGTGTGTTGTGTGTGTGCAGGTGGTGGCGTGACCATGGGAGTGGATATACACATATTCTACCGTCATCACAGGAGCAAGTGCATGCATGTGTGTGTGTGTGTGTGTGTGTGTGTGTGTGTGTGTGTATGCGCGCTCACCACATGCGTAACGCTGGCGGAAGGCCGATTGGATCCCCGTTCTCGTCCACGCGCGTCGCGCTCTTCAACTTTGTAAACCGCGTCTGCACACACATACACATGCGCCAGCAGTGAGTACGCGCGTGCATGCGCGTGTATGCATGTGTGTGTGTGTGTGTGTGTGTGTGCGTGCGTGTGTGAGATGAATGGAATCAGTGCAGCGCTTCGTGGCAAGCTCAAGGGCGCACACCGCAAAACAAATGCTTGCACACCACAATTCTCCACCAGCACAAGCAGGCACCCACTACACCTCACCTCGATGGCTGCTCTGTATGCCTCCAAGGGGCGGCCGCAATGGACAACAGCCTGATACAGCAGCGCAACCTGGTGGGCAAGGTGCTTCAGGTGCCCGTTCTCCACGTCGCCAGCGAGGATGTCGCACAGCGTCACAATGGAGTTGGTGTGCGACATATGGGGTAAGTAGTCTGCATGGGTGGGGAGGAGGGGGGATGG